TGCTACAGATAATTAATAAACTCAGTGGAGACACTCCTATAAACAGCTGAAAGCAAAAAATAACTTTAGCTTCTGTTAACCTTTTGTCAAAACTCGGATCACACTCTTAATTAGAGTCTTGCTAATGTGATCTGTTGCTAACTCTGTCTTCATCACAGTGAGGTTTTTATTTTTATGGACATTTGTGATGGATGTGAAATTGTAGAGCAAAATGAATGAGGAAGATGGTTTGGAGCAGCAAACGGTGCTCTTTGTGCTTTTTGTTCTGTGTGATGTTTTATGATCAATATTGGTGCTGAAATGTGAGAAAAGCCTTCTCCAGATCACTTCACACAACTGGAAGTACATCTTTTGTGCATGCTTTTCTGTTCAATGAATGTGGCTGCTTGCAGTTCAGACTTGCTGTTTTGAAAGTGATACAGAAATGTTACTATTTCCGACATCGTAAGATTGTCATAGAAACTTTTACAGAATATAGACATGACGCCAACATGTTCGGAGGCCGTCAGAAAAGAGTGCATGTCTAAAAGGGGGTTTACCTGACTCTGTACTCAAAGAGCAAAACTTGTAATCTTGGTGAACACTTTTCATTACATATTTAGCTCAGTAAGCAACATTCGTTCAGGATGAGAATCCCCAGAGTTCCACCTGGAATGTTTTGGCAATGCCCTTGCTGTCTATCAATTACAGTCCACAGTTGGTTTAGTCCACTTACAGTTCCAACGAGAGCCAACAAGATTTAGTCAAACAAGATGGCTGTGTTGACAGAAACAGAGTGTTAGTTTGCACAGTTCTGCTGAAGCTGAAATTGCACAATTTTAATCGTTAATTTAAGTTAAATATAATTTGTCTTAATGGGCTTTTTATTTTCTTTATTTTGTCCTTGAGAGTAAACAGCTCAGAGTCTTTTCTTATTGTCAGTATGCAGCGTTTGGGTTTCTAATCTGTTTGGAACTTGAATCTTCTTTTTCATCTGGAAAAACAGTCACAAATTTATGTGTTTATTTTGTTTCATCAGCCGTACGGATAATTATCCAACTGTGATCCCAAAATCGACGTACATACCGAACAGTGAATGTTGTGGACGTCAAATGCTACTTTATCAAATATCAATGTGTAATTTAACTACGTCAATAGAACATAGCAGTGCGGCATCATTATATGTTAGTGTGCAGTCATAATTTAATGATGATCTAAGCAAAATATTAACACCATCTTCATTTTCCCTAACTCTTTCCTCAAGTAAAAACTGACAGCTTTCCTTAGGCTGCGGTTGCTTGAGTGTCCAACCTTGAGGCATATCTCGCACCCTGATCAATGCCCCGCCGCTCTGCGTTCAGTTCAGAGGTCCTTTATCATACATAGTGATCACTCTAAGTGAACATTTCAATCTGTGTTTGTGGAGCCTCAAGGTTTTGCAGAGATAATCACACTCTTTGCCAGGTTTTAATTAAGCCATAGGAGATATTTGACTGTGATCTTTGTCTCTTCACCATCCTGACAGCTTGAAAGACAGTGGCCTGCCATGAAAAGCAATCAGCCTTTTCTTCCCTCTCACTCTGATGAAAATACTGTGTAAATATGGCCCTGAATGAGATGGAGTTGAATTCACACACTACTGTCTGTGCGCCAGCTTCAATCGAATTAACTTTAGAGGACTGCCACCTAAGACAGTCTTTTTATATAGCAGAGCAAATTGTCTGCAGTAAAAGGGGTGAGAAAGCTGGATTATGTTCCATTACGATCCCCCTCAATGAATAATACAATAGGGCCCCCGGGACCAAATGGAGATTGGACTCATCTTTTCATGTCCGTCTTCCATTTGCACATTCGTGGCCAGGGATCCGCTGCCAGAGTGCTCCTCCTACCAGTAATTCAGCCACCCACAGAGGCTGAATAAGGCCAGACGTCCTCATGGCACCACTGATCCATACATCTGTAACACCGAAGCATTCGTCCAGGGACGTCTTGGCATTTGACAACCAACTCCTTCGTCCCCAGACATGGCAAATGTCACCTTTTTCTCCTGCAGACTAAAATGGAGCCAATGCATTTTTGTTGTAAGGTGACCTTTGAGGAGACATCAAACAATAATCTCTTTTCTTTATCTGTAGCAGTGCCATGCAAGTCGCTTTTTCACTAGAGCAGTCACAAAAGTGTGGGTAAAGTAAAGTTTGGATGCACCAGATAAGAATTAGCATAAGATAAGTCACTAGCAGATGAATCAAATCTGATACAATCGCAATGAAGGCATTTGGATTTTTTTTTTTTATTATTATTTCTTTTCGTATCACTCTTTGTTATCCACGGCCAACTCCATCAACATGAAAGACTCCAGTCTTGCTGATCCAACATGTAATTTAGAAGAGATTATGCTTTTTGCAATCAAGCTTGGCAGTGTCAGAAAATGAAACAGGGGGTGTCAGCAAGCAAAGAAAGAAGCTATGAATATCATTGAAACTGTGTCTGACTTTGCACTTTCTTCAAAGACGATTCGGTAGTCAAGTGTAGTACGAGATAGAAATAAAGCTCACATCTGGAAATTATTAGCATTACTCTGAGCTTGAATGGCCACGGTGAAGGAGCTGTAAATACGTCTGTTTACATCAGACATATTTATAGAGATTGCATGTTTGTTGCAAAGGTTCTTAAGTCGAATTTAATATCCACAGTGAGTCAGTGAGGCAAAAGAGTGAAGGTCTTTCTTGCAGTTGGTTTATATGCTTCTGATCTCGAAGTTTCAACCAGCATCCAACATTCTTAGTGCATTTGCTTCCAGCTATGCCAACATGTCTGGCAGCTAGAGTGTAAAATTTAACTTAGAAAAGTACTTTACACTTAGGTTCTAAAAGTGTCTCATCACTCTTCCCAAAAGGAACTCATAACATTTTAAAGAAGAACTTCAGCAAATTAAAATTTTATTTCTTTAAAGTTGGAAACGCAAGATTTGAAAAAGAACAATCTAAACCAAAGCAGAAGAAGCCAATGCATCCTTTTTTAGTCCTCAGTATGGAGCAAACTTCCAAAAAACCAAACCAGTTTGTCACATGGACTTCCTGCTAACCCTCTGAACCCTAAAACCCACTAGTGGATTTGAAAGGCATCTTTGAAAAAAACAAAACAATACACCAAAAATTGCACCTTTTATCAGAGCCAGGAAATGTAAAAACAGAAAGAACACCTTGTCGGCATAACCATGAAGCCATCTGTCATAAAAATACATTTTCAAAAGAGGACAAAATTTCGAGAGTTTTCATTTGAACTTGGCTGAACTGCAGGCTGTGTTTACACCGAGCAGACAGAGCCATCATTTTTTTGTCAACTTTTTCTCTTTTTTTGTCATTTATGAAATTGTAATCGTGTCATACCGCACAAAAGACTTTTTTGAGTTCTCTCTTCTAGTCATGGTTGCACTACAGTGAAAAATGAGCCCACAATGAGGCAAAATGTGACAATAGCAAAAAAAAAAATCCCCAAAGGGAATTCAGAAGGTTAAGGAATGACCTGGTGTCTGATAAAGTATATATGTTATCATATTCACTCTGAACAAATGGATAAAGGGTAAAATATCAGCTGAAAACAAGAGGTAAAAAGACTTTACACTAGAAAGACTGAACACCTAAATGTCGTCATGACATCATATTGCAAGTATAAACTGCTATTATCTAATATTCCCTGTTCACACTCATTTACTTATCTCACCCAACACACTATGTGGCATTGAAACTGGATGTGAACCACTCCGAAGAAACGCACGAGGCGAGCAGCTCAAGGAACATCCTTTGTTATCGCTTGGCAACACGGAGTCAGCTGCTGTCAATCAATTAGCTAGTCTTGCTAATAACATCAGCTAATGTTATCAGATAATGCAATTAGCTTACAGACAAAGACAAAACCTGCCTTTTTAGGTCGTGCACTCCCAACCTGATGCTGTTTGTTGCATCATGACGTTATCTGATGAAGAAACAAGGTTGAGCTGAAACACTTACTGCCAACTCCGCTTTTATGTTCCCCATTTGGTTACAGTGGATATACTAATTCTTCCGCACATCTGGTCAGCAAAAGTAACATTCACCAACTGGATAAACACAAGCTTCCTGTAGAAACAGTGTGTTTTCCATCTGAAAGGAGAGAAAAAATAGCTAAAAATGCGTTCTGTGTGGTCTCCTCCTCAGACTGTATTTTCTTTGTTCTGTCTTGTTCTAACCTGCTGTTGCTGAAACCTAAATTCCACAGGGATCATTAAAGTTAAACTCTATCTAATCACCTGCCAACTTTTCTCTCCTCTCTTTTCCTTTCCTAGCGAGCTTTTGGGTCCAGACTTTACAGAGACCTATTACACAGAAGATGGGCAGCCGGTGACTGTGACCAATCACAATTACACTGTGAGTATGAAACAACTGGCTGAAGTACATCAGTGGGCAGGTGTTCGTCATATTATTGTGCTCTTTCTTATGGGGAAATTTGAAGATCAGTGTCCAAATTCTCAAACTCTCCCTCTAAATAATACCTCAACTGAAACCATGTCCCAATTCTAATTTTAACCTCAGTTCCAAGCTCTAATTACATTTACCCCACATAACGACGAAGGCTTTTCCAAAGCATTAAATGTCTGAATTAGTTTTTTCTTCCTCCTGATTCCTCAGGCATCTAATGGTTTCATTTATTTCGGTATTAAATTTAACTTGCCGGCTTAAAACTTTTATATATGTATGTGATTTGGCATTTCACATGGAGTTTAAGAAGGACTAAGGACTTAAAAAGGATTGGATATTTCTTAAGAAGACAGTACATCCATTAGGATTTATATGTGAAATAATCCCTTAATGATTTCCATTATTGCAGAAATTCATAGAAATATTATCTGACCACTGACTATTTTGTATTTTATATTATGGATTCACAAAACCCAAATGCTGTCACTTGTGTGGAAGTGTTTGACTAACAAGATTAAAATGCGGGCATCTCTTCAAACGGAATCCTCACTTTCCTTTTTTTTGTACACAACACGTATCACAAGGTCATGAAGAAATTTTAAAAGTCAGTTTTATTTTTTTATATTTGAGATTACATACACATACATACATAATTTTGGAAAATCAGTTTTTTGTTTGTTTGTTTTCTGAGAGAAGTTTGTGGTATAAAAAGCATTAATAGATCAGCAGTGGGACGTGTTATAACATAGATTAAGCCCAGCCAAGGTTTCTTTAGTTCAGTTCATTGTTAAGAAAGAAGAATACAAGTGAGACTGTGCATATAAAAATCAAAAATCATACCTGATTTAAATTTGGCAGCCACAGCCATTAACTCAGTCTCTATGTGTGGCGATACTGTGCTCTCAGTGTTCCTGTTTTGCTTGCAACGCTACCTGGACATCCTGTTATCTAAACACATGAGTGAACACTAAATCTTCCTAAACTGTGTCAACCCCTAAACTTGAATTTCATTTTGCTAAAGAGGAACAAGTCACAGAAAACCAAATCTGGTGAGCGGACTGGGTGGGGAGAAGCAATTGTGGCCAAAAAAAACTTTGCTTGGAGCACTGGGCTTTGGAGCACCAGCCTCCCATTGCACCACAGTTCAGGTCATTTGTGACAAATGTTCTCCCTTGGACATGTCAGGATATTGCGGGAGAAATCTAGTCTAGGGACTAATTCACAGTGCAGAACCTTGTAAACTTTGGGGAAACCAATAAGCATGCTCCTGGTGCTCCTGACCTGATGTCCAGTCTGTAAAGCTGTGGGCTCTTCTATCTTCTCTAGCTGCAAATCCACCTCTTATCAACAGGGATTATCCAGAACATGGAAGCTGGGAAAGCCCTGACACATGATGGGATGTTTGCCCCCTGCTCCAGTTTGTAGTCCGCGGAGAAATTGCGAATGCATGCCCACAAGAGGCGTGTAACATAGATTTCACCGTTGACGGCGTAGCATCACACAGTCTCCTGACTTGTGACAATTACTGCTCACACTCTCACTATGAACTCTCTCACAACTTTTTGACCATCCCTTGTACGTTGTTACCATCAACCTCTGGCCCATTTAATGTCTACATACACATCTTACAAATAAACCATGATGTGTTGAATAGCATTCTGGAAAATGTGGGAAATCACTAACTAAAGTGCAGTTTGATACCAAAAAATAGTAAGAATTTCCATCAGTTGATAGCAGAATAACTCAAGGCTACAGGCTACAGAAATCCTGCACTTGAAAACACAGAATTATTCTCTCTTTTACACAGGAGGTGTCACCGTGGCACAAAGCTGCTGCCATAAGTGATGCATAAATTCTAAAGCATTTTATTAGCACTGTTGGCCATGTGTCAGAGAGGCTGTGTGGTAGGTTGGGAAACACAGTTTGTCAGCCAAGTTGAGAATCTGTTGAAGGAAGCAGAAGCTGCATGAAAGACAAGGATGAAAGGAGCCAGCCTGTTGCTTCACCTCTGCAGTATGAACACGCAAATATAATAACAGACACAGACATCACACTGAGGCATCACACAGAGACATGCAGTCGTGAACAAAAGTTACATACACTTGTAAAGACCGTGTGTATCATGGCAGTCTTGAATATCCAATGACTCCTTTAACTCCTATGTAGGGATCATTAAAACCTATGCATCCTTGTCACATGCAAAAAAAACCCAAAACAATCACACATTTTGTTCTAGATTTGTTGTAGGTCTTCTGGAAAACTGTCAAAATGTGCTGTGTCAGGAATATACATACAGCAATGCTAATATTTAGTTAAATATCCCTCGGCCATTTTCATCTTAACTCATTTGGTAGCCATCCGCAAGCTTACAGCAAGCTTATTGTTTGACTTTTCCTAACTGAATTGGTACAGTTAAACTAAATTTGTTTGCTTTCTGACACAAACTTCTTTCTTCATGGCAGTCCACAGATTATTGATGGGATTTTTATGCTTAAAAATGATCATTTGCACAGATGATCTTAAGATCTGTAGCTGCTATGAAATGGCTCCAATTTATATTGCTGACTTTAATTCAATAATTAGCTTTTCCAGATCTTTGCTGAGCTTCTTAGGCCTCGATTACTTGTAGCAAAAACTGTGATATTTCAATGGGCCTTTGGTTTACACGTAAACGAAGCTACAAGTCACCGAAAACGATAAACCACAGATAAAACTCTGGCCACAGTGGAAATTTGGAAAAACTCTGTCTTTATGTTTGCATGTAGACATGAATGTCATCAGCATCGTATGTGTGCGACCCATGTTTACAGTTTGGCTACTGTAATAGAAAGTCAATATTTTTAAGTATTTTACTTATTTTGTACTCTAACGCCACATTTAGAAGTAGCTCCACTTCGCTGTCGGTCCAAACAAACAACCCTCACGCCATTATCGTTGAAGTAACAGGAAGTCATTTGTGCCATTCATTGTGTTTTTTCCAGGATTCTGATTGTCTAGCATGGCTTTATGCTTCGCGTTACACTGCCCCCTAAAGGTTTGGCATGCTCATAGCAGCTCTTAACGACGTGTTTATGCAGGTTTTTGTCTTTTTTTTTTAAAAACAATCTAGTGTGAACAATGTTATTTTTGCAAATGTAGATCCCTTTTTGTAAATATCCGACTATGTGTAAACGTGGCCTTAGACTTTCACACTGTAGTGTTAGTGGCCAGTGAGTCTATCAAGTGGGTCCTATTTAAACTGGCTCAGAGGAGTCACCAGCTATAGTCAATTGTTATCATTCGTGAGACGTTAAGAGGCCATGCCACGAAGGATATTGGATTAACAAAGCTTTCTGCAGCGCCGAAACTAATAATTTAAGTGACTGCATGTACATTTTTGGCCCAGCAGATTTTGTTGCATTTCCAAGAAAGACCCAAAATATACGATTGTTGTTTTTTGTTTGTTTTTTTTGTGACAAAGGCGCACAGGTTTCAATGATTCCATCATAGAAAATTCAGAGATATGGGAGTCATTGGAAACTCAAGACAAGTGTATGAAAACTTACACTTACATGCGCCTACAGAGATAACAGTGTCGTATTCCACACTATTTTTGGTTAGATGTGAAAGCACATATGGACTCATTATACACACGCACACAAAACTTATGAGAACAAAAATATAATTGTGTATGCTTGTGGCAAACAAAATAAAATGCTCATCGCTGCATGTATAATACTCACTTCACACTCCTAATACTGATCTGCACACACTTAACACCATTTCACAGCCTCACAGGGTAACGCAATGAATGCTCGTCTGCAGCATGTGTCCATGAACAGATTGAAGCTTCCACGGAACATTTAACATATAGTTGACATTTAGTACCATGCTACATAATGGTGCAAGTCACACTTTAATATCAGTGTGTATCTCCAAAATTCTAAAGGAATAAATGTATTTAATTATAATTAGCAGCATCAAACTGCCTCAACAGTACATTAAACTGCCACCAGGTCACCTTTGGCTGAACCTTATTCAGTGAGGGGAGCTTTAAATGCCAGAAATATTGTGTTTTAACAGCAAACAGGTGTAAAACTGAGAATTTCTGCCAGTGGCAGATGGGTGAGCTTTTTGATTTAAAAAGAAAATTGAGAGCAAGTCTGCAGATTAATCATTTTGAGCTATGATCAGTACCTGATTTGCATTTTAATTTTTGTATTATGATCAGCTCTGGCTCAGGTGGCAGAGCGGGTTGTCCGCTGATCACAGGGTGGCGGTTTAATCCCCAGCTCCTCCTCCACATGCCAAAGTGTACTTGGATAAGACACTGAACCCCAAGTTACTTCCAGTACCAGTGAGCACCTTTCAAGGCAGCTCTGCCACAATTACTGTAAAAGAATATGGATGAATGAGAGCAAATACTTGGAAGCACTTTGTAAACCATTAAGGTAAAAAGCATTATGTAAGTGCAGTGCATTTCAGCCCTCACATTGCATTGCCAGATTTTCTGTGTTGTTCATGCCACAAAATGCAGTGGATTTTGTGAAAATCTGTATAATGAATACATTAGTGATATGAGCAGTATTTGTGAGACAGCAGGTCTTACCTTTGCTATTGTTGTTGTTTTTAACAAATGTTAAGATTCAAAATGGACGGAGAACAAAAAAACCTCTTGGAGATTGCCTCTTTGGTCTTTCTTCTGCAGATTTTGGAAAGTCACATTGCAAAGTTCATTGAAGTCACTTGATTTTAATCTTTAAAGACTCAAGTTATCAGAATCTTTGCAGATGTCTTACATTCCAAGAGTTTTTAATGATCAAAGGTGCTTTAACTACCCTGATGGGCCCTTTAATCAACTTAGCTCTTATGTGCTACATCTGAGGAACCAAATCATCCTTTTGTCCTCAAAAGATTTGGCTGCCCGTGCCTAATTATGTATACTTATGCCTTGTTACATGATTAATATC